CTCTAAAGTGAGGCCCGCTCCCAGTAGTTGGAGCCTAGACAGTGTCAAAGAGGGTATGCCACACTCCTCTGACTCTGGTGGCAGAATGCTATGCCCTCCTGTACCTCCTAGGCCACCGTACTCAGGTAAAAGGAAAAAAAAAAGCTGATCCAAGAAAGTGCTCCAGTGACGAATGGTACTAATTTTCCAGTCTGACTTTTGACACCCGGTGCTTACACCGCTTTTTCTTACTAAAGCATTTCCCATCTGAGGCACTGTTTCCTGTCCTTCTGCTCTTACAGTGGCAGCAGCATTTTCTTCACTAACAGTCTTCAGTTGCTGATATTTGCCTCTGTAAGATGTTTGGTTCACGTGTGAACAAGTGTGGAACTCTCTGTGGAATTTCTAGATGGCTGAAGTTAATGCCAATTAAAATTCCAGTCAATTCCGAGTTTCTTGTTTTTGTTTTTTTGTTGTTTTTTTTCTTTCAATCCCCTTGACAAATGCATGTCATTACATTTCAACAACAGTTTTCCCCCCACCAACAGCTCAAACTCTCTTTTAGTTATTTACTTATTTAAAGATGCACCCGTGTTGACTTATTCCCTGGTGTTTCCTGATGTATTGCACTGCCCAGCAGCATAATAAGCAGATGGAGTGTTTTTCTTTTTCTGCCCTCTCTGCATAGTGCAGTAACAGCTGTTGGATGTAAAAACAGCTTAAGGCAGTCCAAAGGACCTGCAGCACATCAGCACTTATTTTGACTCATTGACGCTTTAAGCCACTGCCCCCTCTTTGCTCCAAGTGTGTATGTTTGTGTGACTCATGCTGTGTCATCCTTGTGAATGGAAGAAAACATTTCTCTAATTTTTATTTTACCTCTCTTTCCTCTCTCTCTCTCTCATCTGCCAGGCTCCTCGGCTAAAAACATGAGGTCACAGTCTCCTGTTCCCACATCCAGATCACCGCAAAAGGTTAGTTCCTTTTTTTTCCTTTTCTGTTTTACGTTTCTACTTACTTTGCTGAGACAGCCTGACCCTGCTTAAGCTGGTCATAGTGTTAACAACTACTGTAGCTTAAACTCAATAGGGCAGGATAAGACACACCTAAACACCGGATTACAGTATTCGACGGTCAGAGAGGAGCACAAACCTAACAGAGGCAGTCCGCTATACAACAACAAACTTAACAACCCATTCAGACTAAAACACTTAATGCCTGTCCAGGGTTTAAGAAAAAATGCTCTGAAAGGGAAATTTCCACAAAGACCAATCTTGGTTTTTTTTTTTTTAGATTTTATTTCTTCCTATTTTTTATTTTTTTGACAAAAGTTTTCTTGCACAATAATACAAGAAGGTGACATAAGGTTTTAGGAAGTGCAGTCAAATGAATTATCAATTTTCAGTGCTTAACAAATTTATTAGACCAACCCCCAGTTTATGTTTTTTAAATCCACCACTATTCACATTTTTAATCAAAATGATACTTTGAATGCTAAAATATGACATTTTTTATCCATCAAATTTTAAATGGAGCGTTTTACCAAAACAAAAAGCAGAAAAAATAGGAAAGCGCATTAATTTTTGATTAGAATACCAAATTTCAGTTATTTACTTAGATTCCTTAACCAAAAAAAAAAACGTTTAATGGTTGAATGTTACGCTTGATTAATATCTGACTCCTCGGAGAACTTGAGTGGGATAGCTCAAATTTGTAAAAACAGGAATTCAGTTTGTTATTTGCCCAATAAATAAAAATGTCATTTTTAATTTTAAACATGTTTTTGACAGATTTTGAAAATATTTGTGTTTTGTTTTTATCACAGGGAAGGTCTAAGAAATTTGTTAACCATTGTACTTAATAACTTTTAGTATTTGATACTCCAGAATTATTCATACCCTTAGTATACAGTTCTGATTATTCCTCCAAATACTTCTCGTAGATGATCACATTGTTCCTGTCACCACAGGGGTTTTAGCCAGCTTCTCTTTAACCACCTTCTCCAGGTCTTTAATGTTTTTTTTGAGTTTGTTGGTTGTTCGTTCTTGCTGCCCTAGAGCAGGTTTTTCTGAAAACTCCTTCGTATTTTTGTTGAGAAGCTTTATGTACTGGTCCTGTTTCACGATTCTACTCACTTTTGCGAGGTTTCCAGGCCCATTTGTTGAAAAACCACGGGACCATGAACTGACAGTGTTTCTACCAACTCCCTTCAGTTTATAGCTCCCAGAAATGCTCTAGAAATCGACACATCTTAGTTTTTTTGCCTGTAGAGAAATCCGGAGCACAGTCTGGGTGTGCGGAAATATCTGTGCTGTCAACGACAATTTCCTTGATACTGAGGAAATGAGAGGCATGAATAATTTTGGACAGAAAAAAGTAAAAATGAAAGTATTGGTATTTTTATTGTTATGCTAATGATGTGAAATAAAAATGTATCTGGATTGTTCCATCTCAGCTATAATTCTTTTATCATAAGCAAAATCTCACCAACTGGGTTTTTATGTACAAGAGAATTTAAAAAGACTAGTTTGTTTTTTTAGGTGGACGGATTATTTGGGGCATAACTGTACGAATGCAATAACATTAGCTGCAAAAATACCTGTGTCCATGCCTTTCAGTCCCAAGGCTTACACTTAGTAAATCCCAACAGTAGCTTTTTAATACCAAGAGGTTTTTTTTTTAAATTATTTTTTCCCCGCTGGCACAGACTGTTTGTAAAGCTGTCCCTTAATCTGCTCACTGTAAACACCGACTGAGCCCAACTGGGAAAGACCCGGTCCGACTGAGCTTCATCTGTCGGCAAGTTGAAGTCCTATTCATAATCAGCCTGACAGACGTTTAGCAGCAGCCTCTGGATCTTTTTCCTGTACTGGTATCCTCTAGCTAACCAGCTGCAGGGTCTTTATTCTACTCTGTGTCAGCCATGAGACTGGGGGAGCTTTGCATTACTGTTCAGTGAAACCATTAACCGCTCCAGCACTGTTAATGGTTTTCATGTAGTTTCATGTAAGTTTTTGTAGCTTTCATGTCACACATGTCCCAAAGTGTCCAGAAAAATGGGACTGGCTTGAGGGCATACAGTGTATTAAGTAACTCTACACCTGGTAGAAACCAACTGTTATACTCTGAGTTAGAATTTAAGCTCTAGGACGATGTCACTCTGCGTGCTCGTCAAAAATATGCAAAACCAGATGGAGTGATCTGTCAGTGAATTTAAAAGGAACACCGACTATTATGACAGGTTACTCTAAAATTATCAAATTATCTCCACTACATAAAAAATACTACATATTTGAGAATAACTACAATTTTTTTGTTGTTCATTAAATCTTTGTTGTTTAAAACTATTTTGAAGCTTTGGGAGCGGCCATGTTTTTGCACACACAATGCATTCTGGGACGATGACATGTATTGGTTGTCAGCAGTATTGGCGCTTTCGTTCAGCTAACCTGTTTTGTTTTTTATAGTGTAGCAATAGTATTAATTAACTCGCCTATTAATGACCTGGTTACAACTTGGTAGACCAGCACTATACTGGTCATGGAGGCTAACAAGGGACCAAAGAACATCTGGATTAAGACCTACAGCTTCAAAGTTTTGGTGCACTGCGAATCATGGAGAATGTAAAAATAACGATATCGTAATTTCACTGCATAATAAAAATTAAAATTATATTAATGTCTTTAGCATGCAGTTATGTGATACCATGGATAGCTGCTGCTATAAAATTGAGCTCTTTACAACAAGCGCTCTCAGTCACCGTCGCCGTTGCCACTGGCAAGCAGTTGTCACATAGACACCAGTAGTTTTCCCCCACTTTCGCGTCCTTGTGTGACTGATTGTTTTCATCCTAATCTAAACTAAGTACTGCTTGACTATTTTCAAAATGTGCTTAAAAGTAAAACATTTGGCGTATTTTAATACCACATTATTATTGAAAGCACAGTACATATTTCAGCGCAAACATGTCTTAATAGCCGGGATTCCTTTTAAATTTCAAAGCCTGAACCCTATTTGTTGTGTCTGTTTTTCCTTTACTATTAAAGTGACGAGACCTCTTTGTGCTGCAGTGAATGTTCCCCTCAACATCTTGACTGGAATGTTTTGAAAGAAAGATAAACCTCTCTTTGTTTTTAAGCTTGGATTTATTGATGATCATCTTAATACCAGTCTGCAAATGCAGAAGAAATCTGGGAAAGTTTAACTAAGCAGTGAGGTAGCTCTTAATGAGGGTAAAAAGTTGTTTTGAAAAGCTGTCTAGTCTTCTGCTAGCTGCTATCTTATTTGTCACAAGCGGGAGTGCTGAGCTCCCAGCGTCGTCACAGGTGTGATGTCTCCTCACATGTGACAACTGCCACGCATGTGGCTGTTTGTGTGCGTTTCCCAGCACTTGTGTATGAAACAGAAAGAGAGAGAGCGAGACACTGGATACCGAAGTGTGAGTGACAGCTTGGCGCTCAGCATGCTCTGTCAATCAGATTTGTGTGTGTCAAAGTGTGTTGGCACGTTTGTTTGCGTGCGTGCTCGATGTGGCGATAGAGGAAGCCTGTAGCGAAGTACCGAGTGCCCATCACAGCACAGCCTGAGATGGATCCTCTGTGGACCTCCAGCGGGTCCCATTATCTGGCACATGAGCGCACCCATGCCAAACGCACACATCAGTCAGTGCAGCCAGAGGCTTATTACCAGACCACAAACCCCAGGACTGCAGTGAACCTGCAGAAAACACATGGTGCAAGTCTGACAGGGCTGCACTTACTCATCTCCAGAGGTGGAAAACTGGGTCAGGAGTTTAAAGTACTTGTCAGGATTGTATTAAATATACAGATTTTATCATGCTCGGACAAATGTGAAAAGGCTTGTGCAGTCGTGCATGTCAAATACATCTCTTTGTGCATGCCCCTGTGGCAGGAACAATGCAACCTTACTGATCAACTGTATACTCCACTAGATCCAATTATTTTCAGCAGATATAATGGCAGCGTGGTGTAATTGCTTAGAAAAACATTTTGATGAGTGATCGGATTTTTGTTGGAGGGAAGTGCAGCATATTGTGTTTTTTCGTCTCGGTGCACAGGCCCAGTTGATGGAGTGAAGAAAACCTGGTCCTCTCATTCTGTTCACTGACTACATTTTTAAGGTTATTCATTGTTGCCACACTGCTGTGTTAGCACACGTGTTTTAGCCAGCGTAATTGGGAGGGGGAGGGGGGGGCGTCAACCGTCGTCAAGTGGTTATCACAAGCGACTCATGATAATTAAGACAAAATTTATATGACATATGTAATTTACAAAATATTTTTGTCATGCACTTAAGGTTTTGTTCATTTGGGAGGGAAACATAACCCCAGCGTGGAGGTTATTTCATGGTGATGGTAATTGACATGGGGGGAAAAAAAGCATTGAGTGTGCTTATTTTGTGTTATTTAATATTGGTTATTAGAAAGTGTTACTAGATGAATTATCAGTTATACTTGGGATGAAGATCCTCAAAAATATCACTATATATATTCTTTTTTGTTTTTTTTATTGTTATACTTTTTAATTTCCTCTTCAGTAATACTCTGCTTCCAGGCTCCGTAATTCAAATGAAATTAAAAAAAAGAAGAAGAAAGAAAAAAAACTTGAAGGTGGTCAGTTTTGTTTTTTGTTTTTTGTTTTTTTATTTATAAAAAACAAATCTTCTGTTTGTCTGTTATTATATTTTAGTTGCCGCGTTAATTGTTTACCAAAAGAAATTTCACACAATATCACAAAATCTTATCAGTTTTCTTGTGTGACTTTTTTCTTCCAGAGGTGACTTTCCTTTCAAAGGGATGTTTTTTGTTTGTTTTTTTGTTTTGTTTTTTAATTAGGAACCGCTTAAATGCCAAGTTATTTCACACCAGACAAAGAAACAGAGCGAATCTTTGTAATTAATAATCTGGCGAACAGCTAATATTTTGATATCTTTATTAAAAAAAGTCTAGTAAAAGTAAAATAATGCTTGTTTTCACTCTGATTACAAGTTTCACAACAGCTTCACCTCTTATTCTGTCTGTAGCGATTCTGACGTCAGTCATTGTGGGTTTAGTGTACGCAAACATTTAAGATTATTTTCTGTTTATTAGGAGTTATAGGAATGGGAACTTCCCATCTGCTCCCCAGATTGCCTATGGTGTACCTCAAGGATCCATTATAGGGCTTATACAGTCATGTGGAGAAGAAAGTATGCCTTACTGAAGTTGTGTTTTATGTGTCGGGTCAGAATTCAAAACTCTTCTGGGCCTTAGAAGGTCTTAAAAATAGGTACATACAAATCCCAAAAAGTTGATTCTTTGCATGTGGGTGTAGTGTTTTCAGGTGAACAGAATGAACTTTTTGGGACTTGGATGATTGAGTATGCATCAAGACAGGCAAATGCAAACTTTTGATGAATAGCAACAAATGACATATTGCATTTTTCGTAATACTATTTTCCCTATAATCTCTACACCACTTCGATTTTTATTTTTGTACAAAAACACAGATACTAAAGATTGATTTGATTTGGTAGTCGTATCACTGTTGTTGATGATATCCATGTCCCGTACTGGAAAAGCTCTTTCTCTGTGCAGTGAACTACAGTATTTTTAAATAAAGTCTCCTATTCTTCAATCTAGACCACAGTGCCACCTTTCACCCCTTCGCCCACTGAGTGCCAATCTGCCAGTCTGGTCTCCAACTCTCCAGTCCTGTCCGGCAGCTACAGCAGCGGCATATCCTCCCTCAGTCGCTGTAGTGTGTCCGAAGCTTCAGGAACCGAGCTCCCCACAGGTGACCATCCGCCCCACCAACTGCCTCCACCTACCACCTTGCCAAACTCTGTCTCCAGTAGCTCGGACGAGCCCATCCGCAGAGAGAACAAGACACCGCCACCCTACAGCGTGTACGAGAGGAACAACCCCCGCAGGCCCGTGCCGCTTCCCCACAGTCTCTCCATTCCCCCACAGACGGACCCCCCGGCCCTGCCGCCCAAACCTCACCAGCTCCGCACAGGCAGCATGAAGTTGGATGGAACCGCCGACCCTCGAGTCCCCAGACCGAGGCCTCTGCCCAGGAAGGTGTCTCAGCTATAGGTGCTGGTTACAGAGCACACAAAAGGAGATGGTGGGAAGAAAAAAAAACTGGCATATTTTGCACTTTTCTACATGGCACTCACTTTTTTTTAGAGACATTCAATTTGGCATTCCTGACCTACACTCCAATAAAAGACACAAGCCTACACATTAACAGGCAGTCTAGAAACTGAAAAGCTGGCAGATAAAGTTTCTTTTGTATTTACTAGAGGACATTGCATTGACTTTGACTTGGTCGTTCTGCACTTTTAGCTCTAGTACATACAATAGCTCACCACAGTCAGTTGTAACACCACACGTTTACCGAACACTCTAGAAAAACACAGTTTTGATAGATGTAATAATCTCAAATATATGTATATTGGTATATATGAGAATTGTTTTGCCTTAAGTATTGGAAACAGAGTCTTTTATCTGTGAGTCTTGCACGTTTTTTTTCCCCTTAACAGCTCAGTATATTTGTATACTGTACGGCTAAAAAAAAAAAGGTGCTAGAGACCTCGAGTATGCATTTCATTGAAGTGTAGTAGACAACGGTGTGTTCTTATTTTCATATCCACATAAGCAATGGTACAAAAACCTCAAACTTTGAACTGATACTAACAAAAATGTATGGAATTTAAAAGATCTAATACCTGTGTTGTTGATTTTACAAATTTGACCGCATTTGTGACCTTATATTCGTTATTAATATGCAGTAATACAGAAACTCTGGCAAATGCAACTTTGACACAATAATGAGAGCAGTTTTACTTCATGTGGTCACATTCAATTTGAAACCTCAGCAGACTTTTAGTGTGATTTGAAATCTAAAGAAACCCCTCTGCTGCCATTCTTTCTTCTGAAATTTGAACATTTTTAAATCAGCGACTTGCTAAAATTACCCATAGTGACAAGAAGAGTCTGGACCAAACACATAGGTAAAGGTAGGTGCAGTTTCTAACTCAAACTGGAATTTTTACAATGCCTATTGCCGTTAACGTGAACACATCCTATTCCTCCTGCATGATGTATATGACAACAGGGAGGGGGGGAGGGGATCGAGTAATGTGCCAAAGGAAACTGAACAATGTGCTGTCAAGAACCTTTCTTTTTCTTTTTTTTAAAACTGGGACCTGGAATCAAGAAAATAGGAGAAGCTCAGCTGCAAAAGGGTCTCTTTTTCCCTGTTTTCCTAATAAATAATCAAATTTACCCCAAAATCTAAATTAATCTTTAACCTACTGATAAGACGAAACTTTCGAAAAGCACAAACAATAGCTTGTCGTCCGCATTATGACCTGTACTGTTATTCTAAAGTCTTTATTTGACAAAGCAGTAATTGGAGCAGATTTTCACAGTCAGCAGTGACCTTAAAACACATGAGGAATGATGTTGTGTTGGGAAAATATTTACAAGCTAATCACTGACAAATATTTGTACAGTTGACGTCTACTTTCTGTTTAATTAAAAAGAGGACGTGAGTTAACTTCTCAGCACAACCACATCGCATTGCTGCAGTGAAGTAAATGTTCTGTGGCAGGCAAATCTCACACTGTTTTGTAAAATGGAGACATTTTTTTTGGCATAATATATTAATAAATTCAATCCTGTGCAAAATGTTTTTGGCTGGGGGGCGGGAGTGGGTAGCTTTGGTATTGTTTGGATATGTTTCATTTTTTGTACGGTTGATTTACTTTTTGATTTGTTGTGAATTATTTGAGATTAAATATTCACATTAATCAGCACTTGAGAACCTGTAAATTAAATGAGATTAATGTAAGTATGCCAAATATAAAATTTGTGTATTACAATTAATGTAAATATTGTGTTTTTAACAAAATGTAGCTATAACAATTTACAGCTTTGAATGTAATGTTGAAGCAGCAAATTATTATTATAAATGTTCAAACTTTTATGGTTTTGTGAGTGTAGAAAAACTGAGGTCATGCATAATGACTCCTAACTCATTTACAAGTTCAATAAACTGCCCTATGTCATATATTTGAGTG